AGCATTCAGGTCCATCTAAAATGCTTAAAGGACTATGGACTTATAGTTCCTTGCCAGTCTCCATGGAACACCCCCCTCTTGACTGTCCTTAAACCAGGGACCAAAGACTATAGGCCAGTACGAGACTTTCGCTTGGTCAATCAGGCCACAGTGACTTTGCACCCAACTGTGCCTAATCCATATACACTGCTGGGATTATTGCCAGCAGAGGATGGTTGGTTCACCTGCCTGGACTTAAAGGGTGCTTTCTTTAGCATCAGGCTGGATTTTGAAAGTCAGAAGCTATTTGCCTTTCATTGGGAGAATCCAGAAACAGGTGGGACAACCCAGTACACCTGGACCCGGCTCCCCCAAGAGTTCAAGAACTCTCCTACCATTTTTGGAAAGGCACTGGCCCGTGACCTGAAAGGTTTCTGGCTAAAGACTTAGGCTGTGTCCTGCTTCAATATGTTGATGATCTTTTTTTGGGACACCCCACAGTGGTTGGGTGCACAAAAGGAACTGATGTCTTACTTTGGCACCTGGAGGACTGTGGGTATAAAGTGTCTAAAAAGAAAGCCCAGATTTGCCAACAGCAAGTGAAGTACCTGGGGTTTAACATCCGGAAGGGGGAACGCAGGCTAGGAACAGAAAGGAAGCAAGTAATTTGCGACCTGCCAGAACCCAAGACTAGAAGGCAGGTGCGGGAATTCCTGGGAGCCGTGGGCTTCTGTAGATTGTGGATTCCAAGCTTTGCAGTACTAGCCAAACCACTCTATGATGTGACAAACGGGGGAGACAAGGAGCCCTTTGAATGGGGATCCCAGCAGCGTCAGGCCTATTAGGAACTGAAAACAAAACTAATGTCAGCTCCAGCTTTGGACCTGCCTGATTTAACAAAGCCCTTCACATTATATGTGTCAGAAAGAGAAAAAGTGGCAGCTGGGGTCCTAGTCCAAACCGTAGGACCTTGGCCCAGTCCAGTAGCTTACTTCTCCAAACAGCTGGATGGAGTTTCCAAAGGATAGCTCCCATGCTTAAGGGCCCTGGCAGCAACTGCTCTGCTAGCACAAGAAGCAGATAAGCTGACTCTGGGACAGAACTTAAATATCAAGGCACCCCATGCAGTAGTGACTCTAATGAATACCAGAGGGCATCACTGGTTATCAAATGTTAGGCTGACCAAATACCAGGGCCTGCTATGTGAAAATCCCCGCATCACCATTGAAGTCTGCAACACCTTAAACCCCGCCACTTTGCTCCCAATGTCAGAGGGTCAGGTGGAACACAACTGTGTTGAAGTCCTGGACACAGTCTATTCCAGCAGGCCTGATCTTCGGGATCAGTGATGGACAGTAGTAGACTGGGAGTTGTATGTGGATGGGAGCAGTTTTGTCAATCCACAAGGGGAAAGACGTGCAGGCTATGCTGTGGTAACTCTGGACACTGTAATCCAGGCCAAATCCCTGCCTCAGTGCACCTCAGCTCAGAAGGCCTAACTCATTGCTTTAACTCAAGCCCTAGAGCTGAGTAAAGATAAGGTTGTAAACATTTACACTGACTCTCGATATGCCTTCCTGACTCTCCAAGTACATGGAGCACTGTACAAAGACAGAGGCCTGTTAACTTCAGGGGGGAAAGAAATAAAGTATCAACATGAGATTTTGCAATTGCTAGAAGCAGTCTGGATGCCCCGGAAGGTAGCGGTCATGCATTGCTGAGGACATCAGCAGGACCAGACCTCTGTGGCCCTGGGAAATTCCCAAGCTGATTCAGCAGCTCGCAAGGCAGCATCTGCCTCCTACTGAACAGCAGTTACAGCCCCGCTGATTCCCCAGATCCCTGATCTAATACCTACTTACTCTAAGGAGGAAAGAGACTTTCTCCAGGCAGAAGGGGGACAACTGATTAAAGAAGGATGGATCCAACTGCGGATGGAAGAATAGCAGTACCACAGCTGCTGGGGGCCGCAGTTGTACAAGCCGTACATGAGGCCACTCATTTAGGTCAAGAGTCACTTGAAAAGATGCTGGGCCGGTACTTTTACATCTCACACTTACCAGCCTCGACCAAAACCATGGCACAGCGATGCATTACATGTCGGCAACACAATGCGAGGCAGGGTCCAACTATTCCCCCTGGAATTCAATCTTATGGAGCAGCTCCATTTGAAGACTTCCAGGTAGGCTTTACTGAAATGCCCAAGTGTGGGGGACATAAGTATTTGTTGGTCCTGGTGTGCACATACTCTGGGTGGGTAGAGGCCTTCCCGACTAGGACTGAAAAAGCCCATGAAGTAACCCGTGTATTGTTTTGAGATCTCATCCCTAGGTTTGGACTGCCACTGTACATCGGATCAGACAACGGACCAGCATTTGTGGTGGATTTAGTCCAGAAAACAGCAACGGCCTTGGATATCACCTGGAAACTGCAAGCTGCCTGCCGACCTCAGATTTCCGGAAAAGTAGAAAGAATGAACTGAACCATCAAAAACAGCTTAGGGAAACTGTGTCAGGAAACAAGATTAAAGTGGGTGCAGGCACTTCCCTTGGTGTTATTCAAAATTAGATGTGACCCCTCTAGGAAGACAGGATATTCCCCTTATGAAATCTTATATCATCCTCCCATACTCCAGACACTACCAGGAACTCCCTGGGAGTGGGGTGAGATTGAGTTAGGATGCCAGTTACGAGCTCTAGGGAAAATAGCACAGGATATTTCAATCTGGGTAAATGACAGATGTCCTGTAAGCTTATTTTACCCAGTTCACTCTTTCTCACCAGGTGATCGCGTGTGGATAAAGGATTGGAGTGCAGCCCCTCTGAAACCACAGTGGAAAGGACCCCAGACCGTGATCCTGACCACCCCCACGGCTGTGAAAGTAAAGGGAATCCCAGCCTGGATCCACCACCACCGTGTGAAACCAGCAGCTCTCGAGACTTCGAGAGCCATACCAAACACGGACAACAACTTCAGAATCACCTTAAAAGAGGACAACAAGCTCTGCTCCAGCCACATCCCGGAAGCTGGCTGGTCCATGCACAGCCAAAGCATGAGGAAATTCATCGTGGGTCTTGCTGTTCTTAATATTTGGACTTGTACAGTAGGGACATTAACTGATTTTGAAGAATGCTCTCAATGTGTCCATCAGGTTTAAAAGGTAGGGCAAAATGTCACTGCCATTCTTTTGTTTTACAGTTATTATGAGTGCACAGGGACACAAAAGGGAACGTGTTTATACAATGGTACTCAGTATAAGATATGTAGACTGGGGGATGGACAGCCTGATGTATGTTACAACCCACCAGAGCCCCCTACACATACGACTTTTGAAATTAGACTCCTGGCAGGACGATGGAATAGCCCTACTAAATTAATAGCCAGGACAGAAGAGAGAGGAAGCCCAAAACAGGTCACTCTAAGGTTTGATGCCTGTGCAGTCATCAATGCCTATCCTTCCGGTGCCGGGGGCTGTGGTTCCCTCTGGTGGGAACAAAGTTATGCAACAGAGCATAAATATCTCTGCCAGAAAATCTACTGGTGCTATGACTGCACCTATTGGTCCTGTGTCACCTGGGCCACTTGGAAAAATGATGAAAATGATCCTGTTCGCCTTGTGAAAGGGAGAGACACCACTTCAGGACGTAATGTCCCCTGTATCTCAGGACATTGTAACCCAGTAGAATTAATAATCACGAAATGGGAAAAAGGGGAGAGTGTAGTGCTAGGAATTTATGGAAAAGGATGTGACCCTGAAGTTAGTATCCAAATTTGGGGAAAAGTCCACAAACTCTCAGCCCAGCCAGTGTACCAACACTTTTATGATATATGAGATGAACCGATACCAGAGCTTCCAAAAAGGATGAAGAACTTGTTCCTCCAACTGGCTGAAAATGTGGCCCATTCCCTCAATGCCACTTCTTGCTATGTATGTGGAGGAACGACCATGGGTGACAGGTGGCCATGGGAAGCCTGTGAGTTATTACCTTCTAACCCTGTCCCGGATCTGATCTCAGTTCAAAGGGTTCAAACCAACAGTTTCTGGGTTTTAAAGGTCTCAATTATTGGACAATACTGTTTGGCCAGAGAGGGAGCAGTCTTCACTATTCCAGTAGGGAAGCTTAGCTGCTTAGGGCAGCAATTGTATAATGGAACCATGGGCACAGTAACCTGGTGGAGCTCAAATTATACCGAAAAGAACCCCCTCCTAAAATTTCCAAAATTACAGGATGCTTGGGATCATCCTGAGTACCAGAGAGATTGGACAGCCCCACCTGGGTTATACTGGATATGTGGACGTAGGGCATACATACAACTGCCTAATAGGTGGACAGGTAGCTGTGTCATAGGCATCATTAAACCCTCTTTCTTCCTATTATCTGTTAAGACTGGTGAGCTATTAAGGTATCCAGTTTACTCCGCTAGGGGGAAAAGACACCTAAAAATAGGGAATTGAACAGATGATGAGTGGCCACCAGAAAGAATTATTGAGTATTATGGGCAGGCCACATGGGCCGAAGATGGCTCATGGGGATACGGGACCCCTATTTACATGCTCAACCGGATCATCCAGTTGCAGGCTGTTTTGGAAATACTCACTAATGAAACGGCCAAAGCTCTGTCCCTCTTGGCCTGACAAGAAACTCAAATGAGGAATGTAATTTATCAGAACTGGCTGGCCCTAGATTATTTGCTAGCAGCCGAAGGAGGAGTCTGTGGAAAATTCAATCTAACCAACTGCTGTCTGCACATAGATGACCAGGGGCAAGCAGTGGAAGATATTGTGCGAGACATGACCAAACTGGCACATGTACCTGTACAGGTGTGGCACGGATTTAACCCTGAGTCCTTATTTGGAGGTTGGTTCTCATCCTTGGGAGGATTCAAAACCCTCATCATAAGTGTTATAATAATAGTAGGTGTTTGTTTGTTGCTCCCTTGTCTACTCCTCCTGTTCCTTCAGATGATTAGGGCTTCATCACTACTGTAGTTAGCCAAAAAATGACATCACAAGTATATGAAACATTATCAGTTGGTTTCTTCAGAAAATCTGGAAAGTGAGAATGAAAGTGAGACCTCTCACTAATATTATAAAATGGTGAGGGTCTCAAAGGGGGGGGTGAGGAGGGAGACCCAGGCATTTGGGATTCCCTTCCCCTCTGTCATCCACTGCGCATCTCAATAGAAGAGAGAGCAGGCCAGCTGGCGCCTCCTGAATCTCCTTCCTGAAAACAACAGGCTAGGCCTTGGGGAAACCCTTCAGAAGGCACTATTTTTATTGAAAACAAGATCAAACCAGAAACCTTTTCACATGTGAGTCCTAAAACTGTAAACTGGAACCCTTTCATATGTAATTCCTGAAACTGTAAACTAAAACCTTTTCACATGTGAGTCCTAAAACTGTAAACCGGAACCCTTTCATATGTAATTCCTGAAACGGTAAACTAAAACCTTTTCACATGCCAGTCCTAAAACTGTAAACTGGAACCCTTTCATATGTAATTCCTGAAACTGTAAACTAAAACCTTTTCACATGTGAGTCCTAAAACTATGAACCTAAGATTCTTCCATGTGTAACATCTAAAGTATAAGCCTATATAAAGGCTGAACCTCCCTTTGTTAGGGGAGCTTGGCTGTTAAGCACATATGCCACCAAGCTACCAGCTGAAATAAATTCCTTCCTCCTGTATTCAGTGTCCGAGAGATCCTTTCCTGCAGCCGCTCCTGCTACATTAGGGCTTATTGTTTGGGAAATAAGTCTTCTCTCTCAAAGAATAAAGGCTGTCACCTTTTTTTTGAAAATCTTTGAGTTATCACTTTGGCTAATTAATAACATATTTGACAATGACTTGTGATCCCCTTTAGTGATGTTAAGTGTTTTAAAGTTTTTATATTTGTAAAACTTTCCAAAGTCAAGTTCTAACTTTAGTTCTCATGAGTTTTTTTTTTAATATTAGTTCATTGAAGTTCCAAAGAAATATATTCAGCTTATTTGATATAAGAAAATCATACAGGAAGCACTGTCAAATATAAAATATTTGACACTATTTTGTCAAACCAAATTAGGCATTTAACCTTCTTTCGATTATATTTATATAAATGTGTTATTAGTATGTATTCCAGAATTGTATATAATTCTTGTTAATCTGATATGTTTTAGCATATGGTATCAGTAGTAATTATAATTATTATGTAAAATTATATGCCACAGAAGTAACCAGATATTCTTTTAAATTGTGTCTTTATCTATGACTATTTTAAGACTTTTATCATCCACAGTTGTTTTATCTTTTTCAAAAGGTGATTTTATAATCAGCATAGGACTCTGATGGGTGCTGTGAAATGCAGGTTTTAGAGATTGTGACACTAAATTGGGGGGGGGAGAGGGAAATTCCAAGACTCCCATGGAGAGCTGAAATGTTCATGAATGGGAGGTAATAACATAGACTGAACTAACAGAAGACCAAAATAATCCTGTAATTACTTTTAGCTGAAAATGTTGCTCTCCCTTTCTTTCTTTTTCACAACCAAAAAATATTTTGAGCTATTTACAGCATTTAACAATTGAATAAAGTATGCTCCTATAAAAAAATTGGAGCAAATTTCTCTCTACCTGATTTCTCCAAAATTTAGAAACTAGTTGTGAATATACTTAACTTATGGCAATATAGTTATTTGCATAAGTACAATAAGAATCTGTGTTATTTTGTAAAAGGACACAATTGGAGACATTGGTCATTTAAGGTTTTGACTGAAATAGCATGCTATCAGATACAGACTTCTTTAAGGAATCAAAGATATCTTACAGAGCCAATAAAAGCCCCTTGGAAAAGCTGACTCCAAACCTTGTCTACAAAGTCATTGTATAGGTTTCTGATCTCTGGTAAGTAAAGAATGTCACTTTCTGACAGGTCCAGAAGCCTCCAGATTTTCTTGGGACCTTGAGGTGAAGAATTCACCTAATTAATATAGGTATTTCCAGGCACAGGCTGAGCTTAAGACATTAAAGTTCAGTCTGAGATCCCTTATGGAATAAAATTCCAGCAAAGCCAATTTAAGCAAAAAGGAGGAGCCTATATGGCAAATAATTATTCTGGCTGACTTTATGCAAATACTCCAGCCAAGTATAGTAAAACTAAAACATATTTTGCAAATGAATTTGTCCTATGATTGTCTTTAGCAAAAACACGAGTGTAGAGAGAGAAATCATGTTTCAAAATAAACTATAGTACACCTGTTGTTAGATTCTAGTCTTGCCTAACCTCGTGTTTTTTCTATTTTTATTATTTTCTACAGTTTGGACTGAATTCTAAAATTTGCCCTGGCTACAAGTTTCCAAAATAATGTTTTCAATTATTTTCCTTCTTTTCTTTCCTTTTATCCCTATTTTTTTCTGATTTGAAGTCACTAAAAATTAAGCTCTGCTCTCTTAAAGCCATGAGAACCGAAGCTAAACAACTTAAACTTCCAAAGAAAAGAATAGCAATCTAGTTACACACATAAGCCACTTTCATATCTGCCTACTGATGTGTAGATTTCAGAATAATATGGCCTATATCAATCTTCCAATATTAATATCTTTTTGTTTGTTATTTTACTCTTCTTCTTCCTCTATTTTCTCTTTGTAGGATGTGGGATTTTAAACCTGCTAAAAATGAGCTTCCCTAATAATGTGGGACCTACTTATCTAAGAATAAATCATCCTCTCCATGACAGATCAGGCAGAACCTGAGACCAGAAACTCATTTTCTTCTAAAAGGCTATCTCTGAAAGGCTTTAAGAAAGGAAAGCAGTGTGGGGAATGTAAAAAGAAAATAAATCTTGAGACCCCAAAATCACTAAGCCAAAGAAAAAGGTCAAGCTAAGAACTGCTTAGGGAAAGCCTTCCTTCCATTCTATTCATGGAGCTACTAAGATTAAAAAAGGTACATACAGGCCTCACAAGAAATTTCCTTGTGGACAAAGGAAACTCAAAGTGATCCCTCTGCTCACTGAGATAAATACATATTGATTGTCTCCTTTGGAAAGGCTAATCAGAAACTCAAAATAATGCAACGCTTGGCTTTTATCTGCCTATGAACTGGAAGCCCTCTCCCTATTTTGAGTTGTCCTGCCTTTCATGATTGAACCAATGTGCATCTTATGTATATTGATTGCTATCTCATGTATCTCTAAAATGTATAAACCAAGCTGTGCCCCGACCAGCTTGGGCACATGTTGTCAGGGCCTCCTGAGGCTTCGTTACAGGCACATGTCCTTAACTTTGGGAAAATAAACTTTCTATATTGACTGAGATCTTTCTCAGATATTTGGAACTCACTCTACACACACATACACAAACACACTCATAAACATGCATACACAAATACACATATATGTATATTTGTGTTATAAACCTATTAGTCCTTTTTCTGTAATATAGATTTTAAGGAAACTCCAGGGCTTCATTTGTCTTTTTTCTTTGCTTATAGTTCTTTGTGTGTGTGTGTGTGTGTTTTAAAACACTTGGGAATAGGAAGAGCAAGATGACTAAAATAAACTCCCCAGTGATAATCCTACCATAGGAACACCAAGTTGAATAACTATCCATGCAAAACAAAACCTGCATAAGAACCAAAAATCAAGTAAGCAATCACAGTACCTGGTTATAACAGGCAAGAAAACTATCAAGAAAAGAAGCACTGAAGGGTGCAGCCAAGGCAGTCTTGCATTACTTTCACCACCCCTCCTTCATCTCCCAGCAGTACTAAAAGAGATAATACACGTGTTTGTGGGAGGGGGAGTCAAGGACTTTGGAAATTTGTATTGGAATTCAGTGCTACCTTGTCCCAGTGGAACACAACACAGGGCAAAATTTAGCCAGTGCCCATAGAGGAAGCACTTATAGTAGCCCCAGTGAAAAAGCAAGCTTTTACTCCAACAGTGGGAACCTGAGTTCTGCCTAGCTCCATCAATGGGTGATTAATGTGGCCTGGGGTCCTGAATAAATTTGAAAGACAGTCAGGCCACAAGGCTTGCAGTCCTCAGGTAAGTCCTGGTACTTTGCTGAGCTTGGAGACAGTGGTACTGAAATACCCATAACTCAGTGAGACAAAAGCTGGTGTGGCCAAGGGAATGCTTGCATCACCTCTTCTCCAACTCCAGGCATCCCTCTACTTGCAGAAAGCAAAGGGAAGACTAAAAATAACCATGTCTTGTGAATTGGATACCAGTTCAGCCACAGGAAAAAAAACAACAACATCAACAAAAAACAGAACATGAAGCAGAGTCCTGAGATCTCCAATTTCAGACCCTATGATGTCCTGGATGACATTTCCAGACCCACCTTGGGCTAGAAGGGAACCCACTAACCTGAAGTAAAAAAACAAGCTTTGGCAGGATGCAACACATGCTGACTAAAGGAACCTTGTTAGGGCTACATGAGTTGTAGCCAGGCAGTAGTCACCATGGGCCTTGGGCTAGACCCAGTACCATGCTGGCTTCAAGTGTGACCCAGCATAGTCCCAACTGTGGTGGCCCTGGAAGTGTTTGCATCATCCCTCCCCCAACTTCAGTCAGCCCAGCACAGAAAGACAAACACCTGTTTGGGGAAAAGTGAGAAAAGAGAATGAGAGACTTCCTGGTATTCCAGGAAATTCTCCCAGATCTTATTCAAGTCCACCAATGTTATGCCTTTACAAGTGTCCAAATGTGGCAACATTACTGGATTTGTGGCACCCCCTAGTGCAGATATAGCTGCAGTAACCAAAGATATAAATTGCAACACTCAAGTCCATTTAAGAAACAGGAGAGTCTTCTCAAGAAGTATAGATCCAAACAAGCAAGAACTGCAAAGATTAGAATACCTAAACTCAAAACCCAAACATCATGAATATCAACAAGCATCAAGAACATACAAGAAAACATGACATCACCAAATGAACAAAATAAGACACCACTGACCAATCCTGGAGTGAGAGACATATGTGACATTTCAGACAGAAAACTCAAAATAGCTTTTTTTGAGGAAGCTTAACCAATTTTACAATAAAACAAAGAAGGAATTCAGAATTCTATTAGAAAAAATTTACAAATATATTGAAATAATTGAAAAATCAAGTAGATATTTAGGAGTTTAAAAATTCAATTAACAAACTGAAAACTGCATCAGAGTATTTTAATTGCAGAAATTATTAAACCAAATAAAAATAGTGAACTTGGAGATTGGATACTGAAAATACATAGTAAGAGAAAGCAAAAGATAAAAAGGATAAAAAAGAATGAAGCACACCAACAAGATCTGGAAAAAAGCCTCAAAAAATCTAATCATTACTCGTCTTAAAGAGGAGGTAGGCCAAGAGGTTGGAGTAAAAAGTCTATTCAAAGAAATAATAACAGTGAACCTTTGAGACCTAGAGAAAGTTATCAATATTCAAGTATAAGAAGGTAATAGAACACTAAGTGGATTTAACACATTAAGATTACTTCAAAACATTCAATAATCAAACTTCCAAAAGTAAAAGATAAAGAAAGAATCCTAAAAGCAGCAAGAAACAAAGAAACAAAAAGACAAATAACATACAAATGAGTGCCAACAGCCAGTGAA